ACCCATCCTCCCCAGTCCCTTTCCCTTTGGTAACTGTTAGTCCATTCTTGGGTTCTGTGATTCTGCTGCTGTTTTGTTCCTTCAGTTTTTTTTTTTCTTATACTCCACATACGAGTGAAATCATTTGGTACTTGTCTTTCTCCACCTGGCTTCTTTCACTGAGCATAATACCCTCTAGCTTCATCCATGTTGCAAATGGTAGGATTTGTTTTCTTCTTATGGCTGAATAATATTCCATTGTGTATATGTACTAAGCATGATTTTTTTAAAGATACTTTTTATTAGGTTGAGAAAGTGTTTTTCTATTCCTAGTTGACAGTTTTTATCATGAATGTTTGTGTTTTTCCAGTTATATTTCCTACGTCGAGATGATTAGGTGACTTTTGTCCTTTATGTTGTTAATACAGTGGTTACATTGTCATTTTCAAAGGGTGAACCACTGTATTCCTGGGACAAATCGTCTCGTGAACTTGATTTGCTTAAGGACTTGATTTCATTAGGGAATTTGGGCCTGTTTCATGAGGGTTTTTTTCTGTAATTTTCTTCTCTAGTGAGTTTGTTATCAAAGTTATATTGTACTCATGTTTCTTATTGTCTTATGCCTTTATCTCCGTCATTATCTAGCTTCAACTTACTTTCAATTTTTTTTTTCTAGCTTTTTTGAGACTAAGAAATAGGTCTTCAAGTTAACATTCTATTCAGGGAGAATCTTTCAAAATCCTTGGCTCTTTTGTCTGCCAGCTGTTGTTTTACCCCTTGGCTCTTTGAAGTCGTGTCATACATGCCACACATGCATAGCCTGGTAATCTGGGATCTAAGAGTTTAATACATATTTTAGGACTCCCCCTTCAGGGCAGTCTTTAGAGAAAGCCATGTAAATAAATGTGGGTCTCACCTAGTATGGTTCCTTTTTCATGGGAATTCCCTTAATTTTCGGCCTGGTTTTGTTCAGTCTCTAGTACCATTTTTAACATTTAGTCTAGAGATTATCATTGTTGGCATAATTTTTTTCTCAATATGCACTAGTTTGCCATCACAAGAACCTTCAATCTGTCTCAGTAATTTAAAGATGTTTCAATTTATTCTTGGTTGCTTTTTCTGCTATGTCAGTATAATTTTTTATCATTGTTACACTGTATGTAATACACCTCCTTTCCTCTAGTTGCTTTTTAGGACTTCCAGCAGTTTGACTATAATGGACCTATGATTTTGTCTTTATCCAACTTGAGAGTCATTGAACATCTTGTATCTGTGGGTCAATGTTTTTCATCAATCTGGAAAAGTTAGGCAACTATTTCTTAACATATGCTTTCTGTCCTTTCCTTCTGGGTTCATCAATGATATGTTAGACAAACTTTTACCACAAGTTACTGATATTTTATATCCAATTCCTCTCCCTGCAATTTTTATTGACCTTTCCCCATGCTTCTTAACTGTTTTCAGTGTCAGATTTTCTGATACATCTTTCCAATGAATTTATAAATTTCAAGACTTGTAAGCTCTAAAATTTACTTTGAATCCCATTTCTCACCTGAAATACCTATCTTTCTCTTAGTATATGCCATTTATTCTCGCAAATTCCTGAACATATTAAAAGAATTATTTCCTGCTTATTCTAACAACTCTGTCAAGTATGGGTATGCTTCTATGGACTATATTTTTCCTTGATTATGGGTCACATTTTAGTTATATTGCATGTTTGTGTTAAAATTGTATTCTAGACCTCATCTATAAAAGAATATTGAACACTATCATATCACTTTGCTTTATTTCCTGGAGAATGCAAGTCTGCCTTTGTGGTATTGTGATTTATAATTAGAAACACATTTGATCAGAATTCCTAAAATCTTTGGAACTTCCTGTATGGAGAGCAATAAACATTTATTTTGTTATTAATGAGGTGACTTATGAAAAGCCCATGGAGACCTAAGGATGGGGGCCAGTCACCAGAGGAACCATGTGATTAGATGATTCAAATTTTCAGTTCCTCCCTGACTCTGTGGAGGGGAGTGGGCTGGAGGTTGAGTTCAACAAGCGAATGGCCAATGATTTAATCAACCATGCCTATGTAACGAAACCTCCATAAAAACCTAAAAGACAGGTTTGAGAGAGCTTCTAGGTTGTTGAGCATATGGAGGCGCTGGGAGAGAGTGGTGTGCCCAGAGAGGGTGTGGAGCCCCAATGCTTATTCCCATATGCCCTACCTATTCATTTCTTCTAACTGCTGTTGCTGAATTATATCCTTCCATAAGCTGATAACCTCCTGAGTGAAATGTTTTGAGTTCTGTGAGCTGCTCTAGCAAACTAATCCAACCTAAGAAAGGGGCCACTGGAATCCCCAATCTATGGCCATCATTCAGCACAGGTGATAAACCTGGACTTGTAATTAGTTTCTAACATACATGGGGTGCGCAGGGAGCCGTCTTGGGAACCGGGCCCTTACCTGTGGGATCTGATGCTATCTGCAGGCTGACAGTATCAGGACTGAAGTGAACTGTAGGACACCTAGCTAGTGTCAGAGAACTGCTTGGTGGGGAAAAACACACATGTGGATTGAAATTTCAGATATATTGGGTAACAGAAAAGTATTCATCAGATTCCTCCTAGATTTGAGCTGAATTATAGTTGGGCCTCAGCTTTCATTATATTGGATTTGAGATAGAGCAGGGAAATAGGACAAGGGTCATGCCATTATAAAATCGATTTACCTGCATAACAGGCCCAGTTTATATTCTCTAACAATCTATCTGCTGTTCTTCCTCTTCATCCAGCCCCTTAATTAACTAACTTTGTAACCAGGGTAAGAGGCAGCCCCTCAGAGTATAAGTGAACCTATGTGGGTAAAGAATGCCAAGATCTGGATCAACAGTCACCTGAATAACCTTATTAAGACAAAACTTCAGAGGAATTAATAATCACCTGTATATATCATGCCTTATGCCAAACCCTACACAATTATCCTATAAAACTCAAAACTCTAAATGCTTAAGCATGCCTCCTGAGGTTGCCCATAATCCTACCTGAGCATGTGCTCTTTTCAAATAAATTTTCTTGGTGCCTAAGCCTATTGCACTTTGTCTCTGAATTTTTTTCTGTGGCAAAGATAAGAACTTTCCTCCTTCCATCTCTGGTGTAAAGTGCCTGCCTTTTCTTCACTACTTCATTCAACTATCTAGTTTTAACAGTCCTTTTCTCTCTCCCTTATTTTAGACCAGCAGGGAAGTGGAAATTCTCAGAACATAATCTCACTCCACCCAGTGCTCCGTGGCTCCCCCAAATTCTAGGGTGGTACAGATATAATTCCCTTACCATGCAGATCAAATAGACACCAGACACTGGGTTGGTTACTCTGGCTTTAGTTGTCAAGAGATTTGCCCTATGCCAAGCAGTTCAATGAACTTTACTTTCCTTCCTGTTCCTCCTTGTTCTCCACTGTCTGCATGGCTGCTGCTGTTTGCTTCTACTCTTGCTTTAATGAATTCCTTTCTTGCTGGCATTTGTTTGACCTGATCAGTAATTCTTTCCTGATCAGAGTCAAGAGCCCTGCTCTGTGTGGGTTGAGGTTTCACCTAGCATGCAGGGAGAGGCCATCCCAGATGTACCTGCCCAGCAAAAAGTCACCTGTGATCCCCAATATCTAACCTCCAAAACCTGACCGTTTTTATCTTGTGCTTGAACTGAGGGTTTGAGCTGAGGTTTGTCACTTTTGTTTCACCATTAGATTTAGCTGATAGGGCTGGAGAATCCAATCACTGAGAATGCACAGGACGACACTCCCAGCTTTGTATTCACTGTCATGTTCTCAGGACAATTTGGGTAGGAGTGGGGGAGAAAATTGTTGGAACAAGTGACTGATTTTTACATTTGCAGTTTTCACATTCCAATCCATCCTACCAGTTCACACTGCTAGTCTAAGGCTCAACTGATTCTTTTATTTCCTATATATTCTCTCCATCTACAGCAGATGAAATCCCAGTGACTACCCACATTCTAACCAGGCATCCCTTCCAGGGCATGGGAGTTGCACAGCTATTCACTCTTAAAAAGAACTTACTTCTCTCTGGAATGTAGTATAAGGTCTCTGTATACAGAGGCTGTACTAATCCCACAGCAAGTACACATTTTATTTTGCCATTTTTTTTCTTGTTAGCCACAGAAGGGGAGGTCTTTAGTGTCCTTTATATCCTAACCCAAAGTGGATGTATGCAGATCATTTACTGAGATAAGAGTATTTGGATCAAGTCTCAGATCAATCTCTGATAAAAGTGAAAAACCTAGGTAAATTTTATCTCAGTATTTGAAAAAGGCTAGAACTCTACATAGTTCAACTAAATTCCTAGCCTCCTTGCAACTGTGATGATGTGTAAGAAAGTTGCTTGCCCTCTGCCTGCTTCCTCTCTTCCTCCTTGTGGGGAAGTTGGGGTTCCTATGCCCAGGATCCTCACCTGATGATGTAACTGGCCTGTTGCTAGGCTACTGCTGCCACACCTTTAGGCAATAAGCTATTACTGCACTTATGGAGAGCTCCACCCAGTGCTCTGGGCGGAGGCAGAGACACTAGTGCTCGACCTACCGCCGGGAGAACAAGCCGGGTAATAAACCCTTTCACCCCAAAGAATGTTTGCTGTCATTTTTCTTTGGTCACATTGAATCCATAGCGAACTTGCCCAGGGCTGAAACCCATTGGCAAGACACTCCCTCTTGTGGACTGGATGGTGGACAGAGTTCTGCCAGCCAGCTTTGACCATGCAAACAAGGGCAACACCATATGTAACAGCAGAGCAAGCTAGAAGAGACCTGCATTCTGAACAGCTTCATGGCGCAGAGCCACCCTAACATCCTGAACCAACTCTTGATTGCTGCACTTGCACTATTATGGGAGAGCATGAACTTCTGTTTCCTTCATGGAAATGTGCTTTGTCTCTGTTACAGCTTGTGCTCTATCTTAATGTTTTCAAACATTTTGTCTCCTATAAAGCTTCAGAAATCAGTACCTCCCCCAAATTTTAAAGTTGACTTTTATTTGCTTTTTACATTTTAAAATAACTCTGCAAGAGTACCATTTCTGCTCTATTGGCTTATCACAAAAGTTTTTAAATATGTCTTCATTAAAATTTTTAAGTTACACCTTACACAATTTATGGTAAATGTTCCCATGTTTAATGTAATTGACAGAAACAGTTCTCATCATCAAATCAATCAGCCAAGTCAGATTACTTCCTGTCAGAAAATGCAATTTCATTTTTAAATTTCATAAGTGTTAGCCCAGGCCAACCATTTCACTTCTGAATCCTAATTCTGGGAGTGACAGATATAGAGATTCCCTTTTCATGCCCATGTAACGTGGGGTCTTCATGAACCCCAAGGGCACATAAACTCCTCTCAGAAGGCCCTGCCCTGAGGAGCACACACTTGGTCTTAGCCCTGTGAATGGCACTGGCTTCCATCACCAGGGGCTCACAGCCCACTGCTCCAGCTTATTTAATGCTATCACATTTGACAGAATTGCTTCTAGGATAATTAATTTACTATAAATGGGGGAACTTGTTTTAGATATTGACGGGTTAGGTTTTTCAGAATAAACTTCGTTGCAACTACTAAACATGTTGATAACTACGTTTTAGAAATCTCAAAAGCTTTAAGGACAGCTGACAAAATAGTAAGGGATTATTATTCCAACAACTACAACAAAGTCCTTCATAGAAGCAAAGGGGTGAACTGGAACTTCCCAGGCACATAAAAATACATTTTCAGACAGGCAGATCTAACACAACCTTTAGGGAAGACAGCATGTAAAACTCTATATGAAAAACTTCTGTGACCAAGCAAAAGGAGAATAAAATAATATAAATCATCCCAATTTTTAACATCAATATTTGCGTTTTAAAAAATGATGTAACTCACATTTAATACATATATATCAATACATCTATAACTAGCAGAAGGAAATAAACAGCTTATACACACTCTGCATAATTGATAGTTTTATATACATAATCCTATATGCTATCCAACAATTTCCAGAGGGAACACGCTAGTCTGGACAGCAGACAATAGTTTTTAAAATGAATCAAAATTAAGATTCCCAAGTCACAGCTTCATGTGGTAGAAATTCGTATGCACTAAGATGAAATCTGAGGTATTTATTACACTGAAGATGCTTAACTCTGCTCCATGCCAGCCATGAGTGACAAGGCTAGAGATTCCACTGTTGAAAAAAAACAAGGTTAAAGAATAGGTTTAAATATTTGAAAATGTCTGAATAAGGCTTTATTAAATTCAGAACTAAAAGTACATAGACTTTCCTTTTTTTAATTAAATACTGATTGTTTTTAACATAATGTAGATGATAATCTTTTTTATGTACATTTTGAAAGAGTATGACTTATTTATATTTCAGATCATTTTAATTTTGAAAACAAAAAATCTGAGCATTTCACTGAACAAATCACATCTGTCTTATATGCCAAACCTGGAGTTCCTAACGTGCCATGTTCTAACCTATGAATGAAATCTACTTGTATAACCACCACTCAGTGCAAAAATGGACAAATGCATCAATATTTCCTCTTACACTTTTAACACAGTATTTTAAAAAAATGTCCAGCTACTCCTAATGAATACAGTACAACTGAATTTGCTGACAAGGGAGAGAATAACCCTGCAATCATTTCCAAAAACTGTGCAGAGATACTCCTTAGTCCTTTTTTTCTGCAGATTAATCAGCTGTCTTCTCCATGAGTCATCCATAGACTCACATACTGTCTTTGCACTTGTCAAGGTTTCATTTCCGTGTGAGAGAGGCAGCCTTGGGAGCTCTTAAATTGCTAAAAAAGAAACAACCCCCCTCCCCCCATCTTTTGAAAAGGCCTAGTTACAAAAGCTACATATATAACATGATAGTAAATTATGACTGCAATTTACACTGCCATTTGCTTTAGCAGTTTTAGAAATCAACAGGTGTAATAAATGATATATTAGAAAGCAGGATCTTCAGTCTCAGTGTTTTATGTTTAACACCCACTTGCCCTACTGTAATTCTGAAAAAACAAACTAAAAAAAGACAAAAAAAAAAAAAACAGGTCAAAACATGGCACAACTGCTAAGGAACTTTCCAGGTCTAAAATTGGTGGCAATTCTTAGTTCTTCATGAGGTCAGTGCCAAAACAATCACACTAGACCTAGCTCCAAGGAGACAGAAAAGCAGGACTAAGTCATCACGGTGGACTCACAATGGGGAAAGGATCCTCTACAGACGGCTTTGTTTAAAATGGTTACAAGAAACATGTGGCAGTTTTTAAAATCAGACTCCATTTTCTCAATAGATTCCATTCTAGGAAAGAAAGTATATTTCACTTTAGACAAGTACAGAAGGAGTTAATAGGTAGGCTACAAAACATCTTTGGAGTAATTTCAAACATACTTTAATTATTTAGAATCGTAAATCTAGAGAGATTATAAAATATAAAACTTCCTGCCCTACTTTAGAACAAAAACTTTACAAGTATCTGAAGGAAAGGTTCACTGGGATATAAAATTGTGCTGTTTCAGGATGGTGATGAGTTCTGGAGCTAGAATACCTAGGGATATACCCTTTTCCATTATACAGTTCTGTACTTTTACTTTTCACAAGCATTATTTATTTTTTTTGAAATAAACAATACATTAAAACCCTAAATTTTAAAATTGTTGAAAACCTTTTTAGTATGGGAAATATCACACACACAGGCAAGTGACATAGCAGACCTGTAAGCACCCACACAGTGTAAGCAGTCCCCACCCCAGGAGGCCCTACTCTCACCCACAGCCCCACCCCAATTTAGAACAAACTGGAATCACACATTTCAGTCATAAATTCTATAGTGTGTATATGTTAAAGACTCCTTTTAAAGTCATGATACCATTTGCTTAAAAATACTTAGCCAATCCTTAATCTCATCAAATAACCATCAGTTTTCAAATTTCACTTTTCTAACTTTTTACTTTTCTGCATTAATCAGATCAATGAATTGCCATAAACTGTGATGGTTTACATGCTTAATCCTCCTCATTCCCAGGTTTTTGCTTACAATTTATTTGTTGAAGAAACTGAAGTAGGTGAATTTTAGCAAAGCATATGCAGCAGTGTTATTTTCATCTCCACCTTACAGTGACTTGGAAAAAGAAATACACTCTGCACACTGAGACAGCAGTAATAAAGACAGCAAGACTTCCTTTTTCAACCCTGCAAATATGAACTGCACCTTAGTTTCTTTGTTTAGACTACAATGACACAGCCATAGATTAAGATTTTAAATCAGACTCCCACTACAACGACTTCTGACTTCTTTCCTGACACCAAGTACAGGTCATTACCCTATCAGCCAGTCAGCCAGACCAGCACTTTTATTTCAGGGAAGTAAGAGCACCATTATTATTACATTAACTTTACAAACAAGACAGGGACAAATACAGAGCTGTACCTTCAAGTTACCAACAGATAATGGTACTAGATAGGGAGAGCAAGCTCCTGGTTCCACACTGGCCTCTGGCTTCGGGGCATTTGCCTTTCTGTGAGATAGGTATGGATAATAAACACTCTACAAGTAAAATACATGATCTTTTAGAGCTCATCGAAAATTTAACTTTGGACTCTAGCATGATGTCCAAAATTTGCTTTAAAATAATTCTGCAAGTATGAGTGGGGGTGGGTGGTAAACCCACACCATAACTGGTCATCATTGGTAACTGCTGAAGTAGGGTGAGGGGTTGTCATGCCATCCTTTCTACTTCAGTGTATGTTTGAAGGCATTCACAATAAAAATTTAATAAAGCCTATGTAACATAACATAAATGTAATCTAAAAATATGTGCTTATCTTAATTAAAAGACAAGACTTTTGCTATCATTTTACTGCTCATAAAAGAATCACATAATTCTTGATGTCACCTGGTTTAGTTGAACAAATTCAATTCTTCAATCTTAAGTATAAGTGATATGTGATATGAAAAAGTTCCCAGAATGAAACCAGTTAGAAGGGAAACTGCAATGGTCACAACACAGAAGGTCTGCAAGCCACATACTTACTGCCAAGCTCCCAGGCCTGCCTGCCAGCCGTCTGCAAACATGAGAGCCAAATTTAATACCTTCATGATGGCTTCCTTCACAAAACTGACCTGGAGATCAAAGCCACAGAGAAAACATGGGCTCTGTAACTATGTCTGGATACACCACTATCATTTTTACTTAATTTAAATGAGTAACAGAAAAAGCCCATCAATGCAATGGCTGCTTTCTCTGTGATAGGGGGCAACAGCCTCTGAACAAACTGCTCTGGGGACTGGGACACAAATGTAATGTACCTGCAATGCATGTAGTACAAGCAGCAGTTTCATCCACAGAACAAGTCACCATTTCCTGGGATGGCCATTTAAATTCACCAATGAAATGGAGCAAGAAATGCTAATGGCTGTAAAATGATTTAATCCCATGCGTCACACTAGGCTAAACTAAAGCACTATCATTCCACAGCTGCAGCTCCTATTTTCTACCTGGGGCCAAGCACAGTGCAGAGTACACAGGTCACAGTGTATCTCACTGGTTTCTCTCAGATACGAATGCCTATAATATGGTACAAATTCGTAACTACATTTGATTTGGTCCTTCCTTAAAGAATATTCTGCAGAACGGAAGCTTAGTACATATAAAATTCCAAAGCAGAGAGACCATCTCATGTACCTTTTCTCTCAGCAAACATCGATCATGAATGGTGGACAAATATCTATAGTGAATTTTAATCAACTGATCTAAATCCTTGGCTTCTTCAACTTGATGTTGAAATTCCAGCCCTGTACTGTGAAGAATCTTGGAAGAGAAAAATGCAAAGTTTAATCAGCAGATGTCTTCTTTGATGACTTGTATGTCAGACACAAAAGTTTTTTACCAATTTCTACTCCTCTAAAATTCTTCCTTCAATAATTACATTGTTGACGTTTATAAAGGACCTTCTCTAAAGGCTGGTGTTCCTATCCTAGAATGAAGGAGGCAGTCCTTTTGGTCATCCACTTGCACAGTGAATGAATGCCTCCCTTTGGACTAATAGACCGCTCCTGGTGGGGAGGGGCAAGTCCATCAAACAGTATAGAAAATGCACTGATTTTTAAAAACAATTATCAGGTAAATTGAATCTCTAAGGTTTTGTTAAGTCCTACTGTTTGTATTTATTTTTCCTTAAAAGAAGCATAGATGTACTTCAAATAGAAAATAAAAACCAAAATAAGAAAAACTTAATCTCCTAGCACTTACTTTCAAAAATTAAAGGTGTAAGACTGGCCCTCTCAAAGCCACTCACATGTTGGAAGCAGAGAGCACATTTTATGTACCATGTCTTAAAGCACAGGTTCCAAAGGCTCACTTCATCCAAACAAAATGGGTTTTAAAGCTTGTGTACTGGAATGACGGCAAATTAGTTTTTTCAGCATTTTAAACCCCAAATGAAGCCTCCCCAATAATACTGCTTCTGTTCAAGCATCTAAACTTCTTCCAAACTACAGTTTCATTTACTTTGTAATGAGTTACTTCTTGTTTTTAAGAAGAAAGTGTACAATCTGGCTGCACCTACCCTCTTACACCCCACACTAACCTGACAGATTTTGGCTGTTACAAAAAATTGAAGCCATTTTCCAGGGACAGCTCCGTCACCATTGATATTTAAAGGGCTGTGCAGCAGGCTCTGAGGCATGCCTGTCCCAGGAGGACACTGGGCAGGAGGGACAGCAGTCTTGGGGTTCACATGCTCTGGCATGTTAAGAAAAAAATCTCCTTTGCTCCCATGTTATTTTGTGATCAAGTTTTTAATATGTACTATTTTAACCTATACAGTCTCCAAGTATTCTGTGGGCTCCTTTGTATTTATAAATGTATCACAAGTCATTCTCTGTGAATAGCTGTAAACAAGATGACAAGCTGGAAGTAGACAGACAAACACGAACCCTGGTCATGATGTAGTTGTGTAAGCTGTTCACAAAGTGCATGAGCTTCACTCTCAAGAGGAATATGCGATGGATTTGCTGTCTTACTGGTTCCTTTTGTGGTCCAAACTGTGCAGCTGTGTCTTGTTCACATAAAAGTCCTTTGAGTTGGGGTTTTTTGGCAGTACTTGCTAGCTCTGTAACAGATTGAAAGAGCTGAGTGGGTGGAAAAGGGTATCTAACCAAACCCCGCCAGAACTGTGCAGGGCAGCTCTGAGTGTCACTGCCAGTCCTGCAAAGGGTACTCTGTTGGAGGCACAGAGGTACCCACCTTAAGACTCTAGAAAGGGAAGCAGTGAAAGGTCCCCATGTCCCCTTGATTATAAGTGGTATTAAAATGTAAATGCAAAGTCTCATTTACTTGTCATTAACAATGTTTGCATTACCTAAGAATATTTCTTGTTGCTAAATTCCTAATCAAGTTATTTTATTTCAAACTGACTAGAGTATGATTTCCTGGCATTTCAATCAGGCAAGTTAATTCTGAAAACTATAAAACCTGCCATAAATTCATGTTATTTGGGAACTTACGTATACATAAAAAATGACCAAAGATAACCCACCTCTTTTCTTTTGGGCTAAAATTAAATTATAATTTACCTGTTAAAAGTACATCTTACCAGGGCAGGAGCCAAGATGGCGGTGTGAGTAGAGCAGCAGAAATCTCCTCCCAAAAACATATATATTTTTGAAAATACAACAAATACAACTATTCTTAAAAGAGAGACCAGACGATACAGTACAACAGCCAGGCTACATCTACATCTGCGAGACCCCAGCGCCTCACAAAGGGAGTAAGATACAAGCCGCAGCCTGGCAGGACCCGAACGACACCCATACCCCAGCTCCCTGGTGGGAAGAGAGGAGTCAGAGCGGGGAGGGAGAGGGAACCAGGACTGGTAAATACCCCGTCCCAGCCATCCACACCAGGAGAGCAGACACACAGTGCGTGCGAGGTGTGCTGGATACCAGGGAAATGGAACAGTAAAACCTGCGAGTGGGTCTTGGCAGCCAGTGCTCCTGGGACAAAGAAAAGCGAGTGCCCTTTGAAAGTCTTAAAGAGACAGGGATCCCACAGCTGGAGGGAAGTGTCTCAGGACACTCAGCCCAGCAGCTGGGAATCCCGGGCAAGTACATCATTGCCATGAAAAGGCAACTCCGGGATTCATAACACCCTGGGTGGCAGCGCAGCTCTGAGGCCCCTCATGGCGATAAACAGCCTTCCGCCTCTTTCCCCTCCGGTGTGGCCCTGCAGTAACAGAGCAGCAGCCTGAGGCTGGCCATGCCCACAGCAACCGGGCAGAGCTTCTTCCACAGCGGCCGGGCAAGAATCAGAGATACCATCTGCACGCAGCTGCCCAGCACAAGCTGCTAGGGGTCGCCGTTCTCTCAGGAAAGGAAGGCCACAAACTAGCAACAAGGGATGTTCTCCCAGCTGACACATGCGCCAGCTCCCCACAACTACCTCTATTGCCATGGAAAGGCAGAAGAATTTGATCCAGACCAGACTAACAGAGACAACTCCTGAGAAGGAGCTTGGAGAGAGAGACCTAACCAATCTTCCTGAAAAAGAATTCAAAATAAAGGTCATAACCATGCTGATGGAGCTGCAGAGAAAAATGCAAGAGCTAATGGACAAAGTAGGGAGGGAGCATACAGAAATAAAACAACCTCTGGAAGGCCATAAAAAAACAGAATGGATAAGATGCAAGAGGCCATTGATGGAGTAGAAACCAGAGAACAGGAACACAGCAAAGCTGACACAGAGAGAGAGAAAAGGATCTCTAGGAATGAAACAATATTAAGAGAACTGTATGGCCAATCCAAAAGGAACAATATTCACATTATAGGGGTACCAGAAGAAGAGAGAGAAAAAGGGATAGAAAGTGTATTTGAAGAAATAACTGCTGAAAACTTCCCCAAACTGTGGGAGGAAATAGTTGCTCAGACCACAGCAGTATACAGAACTCCCAACAGAAGGGACCCAAAGAGGACAACACCAAGACACATAATAAATGGCAAAGATCAAGGACAAGGACAGAGTTTTAAAGGCAGGTAGAGAGAAGAAAAAGGTCACCTACAAAGGAAATCCCATCAGGCTATCATCAGACTTCTCAACAGAAACCTTACAGGACAGAAGAGAATGGCACGATATATTTAATGCAATGAAACAGAAGAGCACTGAAACAAGAATACTGTATCCAGCATGATTATCATTTAAATATGAAGGAGGGATTAAACAATTCCCAGACAAGCAAAAGTTGACGGAATTTGCCTCCCACAAACCACCTCTACAGGGTATTTTAGAGGGACTGCTCTAGATGGGAGCACTCCTAAGGCTAAATAGATGTCACCAGAGAAAATAAAATCACAGCAAAAAAAGCAGATCAATCAAATACTAACTAAACGAAAAAAATAAAATCAACTACCCACAAAAGAGGTTAAATAAACAAAACACAAAAGAGCACAGAATAAGACACCCAACATATAAAGAATGGAGGAGAAGGAATAAGGGAGACAAATAAAGAATCATCAGACAGTATTTATAATAGCTCAATAAGTGAGTTAAGTTAGACAGTAAGATACTAAAGAAGCTAACCTTGAACCTTTGGTAACCATGAATCTAAAGCCTGCAATGGCAGTAAGTACATATCTTTCAATAATCACCCTAAATGTAAATGGACTGAATGCACAAATCAAAAGACACAGAGCAATAGAATGAATAAAAAAGCAAGACCCATCAATATGCTGCTTACAAGAGACTCACCTCAAACCCAAAGACATGCACAGACTAAAAGTCAAGGGATGGAAAAAGATATTTCATGCAAACAACAAGGAGAAAAAAGCAGGTGTTGCAGTACTAGTACCAGACAAAATAGACTTCAAAACAAAGATAGTCACAGAGATAAAGAAGGACATTACATAATGATAAAGGGGTCAGTCCAACAAGAGGATATAACCGTTATAACTATATATGCACCCAATACAGGAGCACCAGCATATGTGAAACAAATACTAACAGAATCAAAGGAGGAAACAGAATGCAATGCATTCATTTTGGAAGACTTCAACACACCACTCACTCCAAAGGACAGATCCACCAGACAGAAAATATGTAAGGACACAGAGGCACTGAACAACACACTAGAACAGATGGAACTAATAGACATCTATAGAACTCTACATCCAAAAGCAGCAGGATACACATTCTTCTCAAGTGCACATGGAACATTCTCCAGAATAAACCACATATGGGGCCACAAAAAGAGCTTCAGTAAATTCAAAAAGATTGAGATTCTGCCAACCAACTTTTCAGACCACAAAGGTATAAAACTAGAAATAAATTGTACAAAGAAAGAAAAAAGGCTCACAAACACATAGAGCCTTAACAACATGCTCCTAAATTATCAATGGATCAACAACCAAATTAAAATAGATATCAGGCAATATACGGAAACAAATGACAACAACACAAAGCCCCAACTTCTGTGGGATGCAGCGAAAGCAGTCTTAAGAGGAAAGTATATGGCAATCCAGGCATATTTAAAGAAGGAAGAAAAATCCCAAATGAATAGTCTAATGTCACAACTATCAAAATTGGAAAAAGAAGAACAAATGAGGCCTAAAGTCAGCAGAAGGAGGGACATAATAAAGATCAGAGAACAAATAAATAAAAGTGAGAAGAATAAAACAATAGAAAAAAATCAATGAAACTTGGTTTTCCAAGTTTCTAAGAGTTGATTCTTTGGGAAAATAAGCAAAATAGATAAGCCTCTAGCCAAACTTATCAAGAGAAAAAGAGAATCTACACACATCAACATATTCAGAAACAAGAAAGGAAAAACCACGACAGACCCCACAGAAATACAAAGAATTATTAGAGAATACTATGAAAACCTACATGCTAACAAGCTGGAAAACCTAGAAGAAATGGACAACTTCCTAGAAATATACAACCTTCCAACACTGACCAAGGAAGAAACACAGAAGTTAAACAAACCAATTACGAGCAAAGAAATTGAAGCGGTAATCAAAAAAGTACCCAAGAACAAAACCCCTGGGCCGGAAGGATTTACCTTGGAATTTTATCAGACATACAGAGAAAGCATAATACCCATTCTCTTTAAAGTTTTCCAAAAATAGAAGAGGAGGGAATACACCCAAACTCATTCTATGAAGCCAATATCATCCTAGTACCAAAATCAGGCAAAGACCCTCTAAAATAGAAAATTACAGATTGATGAACCATACATGCAAAAATACTCAACAAAATATTAGCAATCCGAATTCAAAAATGCATCAAAAGGATCATACACGATGACCAAGTGGGATTCACCCCAGGGATGCAAAGATGGTACAACTTTCGAAAATCCATCAACATCATCCACAACATCAACAAAAAGGACAAAAACCACATGATCATCTCCATTGATGTTGAAAAAGCACTTGACAAAATCCAACACCCATTCATGATAAGAACTCTGAACAAAATGGGTATAGAGGGCAAGTACCTCAACATAATAAAGGCCATATATGATAAATCCACAACCAACATCATACTGAACAGCTAGAAGAAGAAAGCTTTTTCTCTGAAATCGGGAACAAGACAGGGATGCCCACTCTCCCCACTGTTATTTAACATAGTACTGGAGTTCCAAGCCATGGCAATCAGACAAAACAAAGAAATACAAGGAATCCAGACTGGTAAAGAAGAAGTTAAACTGTCACTATTTGCAGATGACATGACATTGTACATAAAAAACCCTAAAGACTCAACTCCAAAACTACTAGAACTAATATTGGAATTCAGCAAAGTTGCAGGATACAAAATTAACACACAGAAATCTGTGGCTTTCCTATACACTAACAATGAACTAATGGAAAGAGAAATTAGTAAAACAATTCCATTCACAATTGCATCAAAAAGAATAAAATACCTAGGAATAAACCTAACCAAGGAAGTGAAAGACCTATACCCTGAAAACTACAAGACACCCTTAAGACAAATTGAAGAGGACACTAATAAATGGAAATTCATCCCATGCTCTTGGCTAGGAAGAATTAATATTGTCAAAATGGCCACCCTGCCCAAAGCAATAAACAGATTTGATGCAATCCCTATCAAATTACCAATAGTATTCTTTAATGAACTGGAACAAATAGTACAAAAATTCATATGGAAAACACCAAAGACCCTGAAGAGCCAAAGCAATCCTGAGAAGGAAGAGTAAAGTGGGGGGCATCTCACTCCCCAACTTCAAGCTCTACTACAAAGCCATAGTAATCAAAACAATTTGGTACTGGCACAAGAACAGAGCCACAGTCCAGTGGAACAGATTAGAGACTCCAGACATTAACCCAAACATATATGGTCAATTAATATTTGATAAGGGAGCCATGGACATACAATGGGGAAATGACAGTCTATTCAACAGATGGTGCTTGAAAAACTGGACAGCTACATGTAAGAGAATGAAACTGGACTACTGTCTAACCCCATACACAACAGTAAATTCAAAGTGGATCAAAGACCTGAATGTAAGTCATGAAACCATAAAACTCTTAGAAAAAAATATAGGGAAAAATCTCATAAACATGAGTAACCTCCTCTTGAACATATCTCCCCGGGCAAGGAAAACAAAAGCAAAAATGAACAAGTGGGACTATATTAAGCTGAAAAGCTTCTGTACAGCAGAAGACACCATCAATAGAACAAAAAGGTACCCTACATTATGGGAGACTATATTTTTAAATGACAGATCCGATAAAGGCTTGACATCCAAAATATATAAAGAGCTCACCCACCTCAACAAACAATAAACAAATAAACCAATTAAAAAATGGGCAGAGGAACTGAACAGTTTTCCAAAAAAGAAATTCAGATGGCCAACAGACACATGAAAAGATGCTCCACATCACTAATTATCAGAGAAATGCAAATAAAAAACACAAGGAGGTATCACCTCACACCAGTAAGGATGGCTGCCATCCAAAAGACAAACAACAAATGTTGGCGAGGTTGTGGAGAAAGGGGAACCCTCCTACACTGCTGGTGGGAATGTAAATTAGTTCAACCATTGTGGAAAACAGTATGGAGGTTCCTCCAAAAGCTCAAAATAGACATACCATTTGACCCAGGAATTCCATTTCTAGGAATTTACCCTAAGAATGCAGCAGCCCAGTTTAAAAAAGACAGATGCACCCCTATGTTTATTGTAGCACTATTTACAATAGCCAAGAAATGGAAGCAATCTAAGTGTCCATCAGTAGATGAATGGATAAAGTAGATGTGGTACATATACACAATGGAATATTATTCAGCCATAAGAAGAAAACAAATCCTACCATTTGCAAGAACATGGATGGAGCTAGAGGGAATTATGCTCAGTGAAATAAGCTAGGCAGAGAAAGACAAGTACCATATGATTTCAGTCATGGAGTATAAGAAAAAAGAAAAACTGAAGGAACAAAACAGCTGCAGAATCACAGAACTCAAGAATGGACTAAAAGTTAACAAAGGGAATGGGACTGGGGAGGATGGGTGGAAAGGGAGGGATAAGGGAGGGGAAAAAGAAAGAGGGCATCATGATTAGCATGTGTAATGTGGAGGGGGGCATGAAGAAGGCTGTACAACACAGAGAAGACAAGTAGTGATTGTACAGCATCTTACTACGCTGATGGACAATGACTGTATTGGCGTATGTGGCGGGGGGGAAACGGTGAATGGGAGAGCCTAGTAAACATAATGTTCTTCATGTAATTGTAGATTAATAATAAAAAAAAAGTACATCTTACCACCAAATAGCAGAACATCTAGACTATATTTTGCCCATTTTATTTGCAATAAGAGAAGGAACACCTGATTATAAATTTTTTGACATTCCAAGCTTATAACAATGTCCACAGGCCATGGGACCTATGAAAACAAAACCAGACAATTAGGGTAGAAAGTAATCCATTACTTGAATGTTTTAATTTTAATAGAAAATGTTTTCACAAAGTATCTAAGCACATACCTTATAGCTCAGGGTCAAACCATCTAAGGTATGAACAGGGAGTTTCTTCTTAGCTGTGTCAATATTTTCAAAAGATATAGATAGACTAGATAAAGAAATTTCAGTTTTAGTTTGTGAAAGTACTATGCTCATGAAATGATTTTTTTAAAAAGTCATTAGCATTTTAACACTTATATCATATTCCAAAAAAGACACTGTATTTCATAAAAGGAATGCAGGCATTCCAGTGAAGGTGTATTTTTTAGCCTATGTACTAAAACAGGAATTTGGTTTTAGAAATAGGAAGAGGGCCAATCTTTAAATAATGGGTTTAGTTGCTATAAGAGAACAGATACTTAAAAAGTGCATTAATTAGGAAAAAAGATAAAGTCAGCAAAGATGATACAATGTTAACAACGAGTCTGGGTGCTTAATTTTGGTAGAATTCATCAGGCCATAGGCTCAAAAGGACCGTCTGTGGAGGGTGGTGTAGGGGGACGGCTCTCTTCGCCCAGGAGGGAATGCATGTACAAGAACGTTGCTGAGAAGGGGGTCTCCTCCTACAGCAAAGGTGTCACACATTGCTTTGTTTCCTTACACACACTTGAAGGTAATTCTCAACAGAAACCAACTAACACAGTGCATGGAAATGCCCCTGCGCCAGGCACTATTTGGGTACTGTCGCATTTAATCCTCAGAGTGGTCCTATCAATGGACTGAGAAATTACATAACTCTCCACAGTTTGAGGCACCCAGTGCTAACGCCTGGAGGCAGCCCATGTAGGGTTTTAGTGGGAGAGGCAGGGAGTTAGCCTTACAACCAGAGATGTAAAGACTGGCGTGATTTACAAATTAGCTGGTTCATTCTATGTGACAGGCACCAGAATTTTCTTTATCTTCTAAGTCTGTTACATGTGCATCCAGTAAGTACTTAGTAGGCACCTACTGAACACATATTTGTCAGGTGCTGTGCTAAACAGGTGAAAGAAAGTATGTTGATCCTTTCTCCCCCTTCAGGGGCCCACAGTCCAGGGCATACATGTGGAGTCATCCTCCTGTCACTAAGAGAAGCTGGGTGCTGTACCCACCCAGGCCAGGCAGGGTCTATGGGAGAGAAGGCCACTGCTAGGCTGTGCAAACGCAACTGGAAGAAGTGGACAATTGAAGGGTCCAATGCAGACAGGGTACAGCTCTTGGAGAAACCATAAATACTCCAAATACCTGAAGTGTAAAGTGTGGTAAGAGGGAACATGCTGTGTCTGTATGTGTCTGCAAGGCTGGGAAAATGACCCAGACAGTGAAAGTCTTTTTCTCTGGTGAGAAGCAGTTCAGCCCATCAGTTATGAGCCACTTACAAGGATTCTGAGCACAAGTTGTGGAGGGAACTGCTGGTTTACTGTGGTCATTCTGGTGGCACTGCAGGGTCAGGTAGGAAGGAGAGAAGCTGAGAGACAGATGGTCACGGGGAACTTTTCCAGAAGGCAGAACTGAGTAAGCAGGGATATGTGGGAGGCAGAAGAGAAGTAGGAACCTAGGGTGAGCCACAGACCAGATCCTGGCACTGAATGCACAGTGGTGTTTGACCAGCAGAAACAAAGCATGGTTTGGGATGCAACAAAAATGAGCTGTTTTTGATACATGACATTTGAGTATAGTCACAAGGTTCTGGCTCTGCAGACACCTGGGCTAAAGGCACTGATTTTCAGTTCATTAAGGTTCGTTGAAGCCATCAACACGGACTTGAGATGCCCAAAGCAGGAGTGCTGAGACAGGAGAAGCAGCAGCTGTGCCACAGGTGGGTGGAGGCAAGGTCTCACAGGAGGCTGCAGAAAGGGCAGCAGGGATGTGGGCAGGGTAAAGAGCAGCGAAGCAGTGTGGCACTGGCGTTGGAACCAGTGGGGATGGGCTCAGTGAGCCCCAAGGCACACACGGAACCACAGCAGAAGGGCTCTCGGGTGGCTCATTTGTCTTTTGAGTTAATCTATAAATGGAATGCCATCTCAATAAAAACACCAGCAAGGTTTCTGTTTTGGCAGAGTTAGACAAGTTAATGATCAAGTACTAAATAAGCAAGAATGGCTTGGAAAGCCCTATTAAATAGGGTGCTACTAACATGTGAATAAAGAGACAGAACCAGGAAAGAGGATGGAAAATGTAGAAAAAAACCCAAGTGCATATGAAAAGTTAATGATCAAAGCATATCTTAAATAAAGGGAGACTTTTTTTCTCTTAAAGAAATAAGTGATGGGAACCAAAAAGGCATTTGAAGAAAGATAAAACTCCATTTATTTCACCTATTTTTAAGCAGAACAAATTCCAAATGGATCAACATCTAAGTGTAAAAAAAAAAGCCAAGTATTACAAGAAAAGATGTATTTTTTCTAACTTGGGAGAGAGTAAAATTTTCTTAACTATAACTTAAAATACAAAAGTGATAGGAGAAAGACTGTACATTATTAAAACTAAAAATCACCTGCCTTGAAACACAACAAAATTGTTATACCATAAGCCAAGTTAAAAGACTAACATCAAATTGGAAAACATTTTCTTGTACATAAAGAGCTTCTAAACATGGAGACAGTGAACACCAACAACCTGACACTGAGACCGTGGCAGCAGGTGACGGACAGCTCACATCCAAAGAAATGCAAAACAAACATATGTGAAGATGACTAAGCTTTGTTTCCTCACACACATTTGAAGGTGACTCTCAACAGAAAGAAAGCAACTAACAACAGGTAGTTTATTTCCATTATTAGAAAAATGGAAATTAAAACTACACTGAGATACCATTTCTCTCATCAGACTGACAACAATCCCTAAGTCTGGCAACATATCCTGTTGGTGGGGCTGTGGAGAGTAATCTTTACTACACATTGCTGGTGGGAATTAGGGAAGATACAGCCTTTACGCAGAGGAATTTGGTGACAGCTAGCAGAATTACACATGCACTTACCCTTTCACCCAGTAATCCCACTCTAGGAATATACTTGGAAGCTATGCTATAAAAATATGAAGTGAAATGTACAAAACTAGTTACTGCATACATGCCTAGCAAAGAGAAACCCAAATATCCACCAACAGGATACCTGGTTGAAAGCACACAATGGAAAGCCAGTCAGCTTTGTAAAGGAGTGAGGCAAGCTCCCTATCCTGCAAATGGAGTGGGTCTCGGGTATATTAGGTATGTAAGAAAAATAAGCCAGGTGTTGAGGAGTGCTCACTGCATACTACCTTTTGTGTAACATATGAGGAGAAAAAGAAATACATATACATGTATCTCTGGTTCCAAAAAACAAATACTAGGCAAATCTATAAAAATGGTTACCTATAGGGAAGGGAGAAAATGGGCATGAACAGGAGCCAGGTTTCCCTAGAAGTACCTCGGCACCTATGATTCTAACTTAAGAAACATAGAGCTGTTTTATGTTTTACATAATTAAGAAACAGAATTGAATCAAGAAAAGAAAAAAAGGCAATTCCTAGAAGTAGAAAGTAAACTAAAATAATTGTGAACTTGACTCTGTTATCAAGGTGGCGACATGATCACATGGAGTATCCCAAGTGACCTTGAAACACAGGATACTGATGACTTGAAAGTATAGGAAATAAAGCAATCACAAGTCTGTTTTAAACTCTCAGTGGGTGTGCTATTATTGTTACTTTGACTCTATTACTACTTGTAGAATAAAACCAGTAAGTACGTTAATGTGCTAGTAAGCACTCAACTGAAGAAACACAAAAGAAAATAAAAGAAATGAAAAACTGTAGTCTTTATTATAAATTGGAAATATCAATAAGAGCTGATGATTCATTTTTTCCTGCATATTTCCTAGCTCTTCTGTCCATTTACAGCCCGGTACTGATGATACTCTGGCACCCAGAAAGAGGGTTTTTTAAGCCACCCAACAGGAGCAGTGCTCCTGGGGGAGGCACACAGGCTCAGGGCAGGAGGTCCACTGGGCGTCTAATCCTGAAGGCAAGGACACTCTGAGATTACTAGGGTGCAATGAAGGGGTTCCCTCTCAGTTAACATGGGGCAGTCTGAGCAACAAAATAACTGTAATAGATTGAAATATATTAAATACAACAAACTTCATGAGTTTCTGCTGATAATGAAAAACAACCTTTCTTGGTTCCCTCTGGGAGATGCTGGGCACCAAATCTCATTATGGAAAGAATCTAGCAGCTACTTGCTTTTACTAACCACATAATTGATAAAAATTCAGTTTTTATGGAATGATTTCAAGGTAATAAAAGAATAATAAAAACAAAAGGAATCAAAATAATCTAAGTAGTAGATGGTTGGTAACCTGGAATGGCTGTGAGGAAAAGGGTGCTTTATCTGGCATGTAATAAATGTTAACTACTATCTATGATTACTTTGGAAGGACCACTGAGAGAGCTGAGGAAGTAGCTGAGCAGGAACATGGAACAGGAAAAGGACTGCATGCCATGTGGAAGGATGAGTGTCTGCTATAAAAAGATTTAGGGGCAAGAACCCACAGACCTGGCCAGGTTGCTCAGCAGGCAGACAGACAGGGAGGGAAGAGCTGGGTAGCTCCACAGCAAAGCATAAGCTGAAATAACAGTTTGAAAACATGTAACTCTGCCCACCGAGTGATGGTATCTACTTCTTATCCCTGCACCTGGGCTGGCCTGTGACTTGGTTGACCAACAATGTGATGGAAGTGAGGTCTGTGAGGTCTGGAGTTTGGGCCTCAGGAAGTGCTTCTATCTCAGAACACCACACAGGACCACTCCTATGTTAAGCAGTCAGTGCAGCTCGCTGGAGGGCAAGGCTGTGGAGCAGGGTAGCCATGTGACTCTAGTAATGTGAGGGAGGCTAGACTCAGGCCACAGGTCCACTTGGTAGGCAAGTCATGTAGCTACCTGCTGCCACAGTTTTCTAGTACGTAAAATAATAATGGTGAAATTCACAGGGTGAGGATTAAGAAAGATATTATATATAAAAATGCACAGAAGAGTTGTGGCACACGGATTATTTGATAATATTTAAAATAAAAGGTGCCTCCCACAGTTTACCGTGAACTGTCTTCAGGATAACGCTGTCCTACTGCTTCTTGGAGCTGGACGTTAAGGAAAGACACATTCTGCCAGGCTTCCTTTTCTCTTATTTTATCAAAAATTGATGTGTAGAAGTCATACATGGTATCTCCACCTTCCATTAAGAAAAAATTTCTCATGGCCTGCAAGTACTCAACCAACCTGAACAGAGAGGAAGTAAGCAACAGAAAGATCTTAAGCTTTTAAGACAGGATTCTGGATCAATACCAGGTTTTATACGCTAATACTTTCAGTGAAACAGGTTTATGTTCTCTACTGACTAAATTCAGAAATACTAACACCTCTTAAAGACCTTTTAAATAATAAAAATAGTATTTATGTATTAAGTTACTTCCCCATAACACTGTAGAAAATCGGGCAAAGTCACAAAACTGTAACAAAAAAAAGTTAATCCAAATCCTATCATTCATACTGAATTTCTACTATTAATATGAGATACTTCTTTTCAGTCTTTTTACTATGCATTAAAAAAATCACGGTTCCTAGCCCATTATATATCCTGCTTTTTCTGCTTAAAGAACATTTTATATTATTTAAAACTGTATAAATGGTGAAGGGGGGGCCTAGTAAACATAATGTTCTTCATGTAATCGTAGACTAATGATACCAAAATAACAACAAAAAAACTGTATAAATATAACTTGAATGAACTTCACAAAGCTCATATATAATACAATATGCTGTATTTTACTATGGATATACCATATGTGTGGATATGCCATAATTAAAAGAACCAGTCATCTGTTAATAAGTAATTTCATGTTTTCCCTCTGATAGCAAACTTTGTGATAGGCATTTTTGTGCAGCAAGGTTTTCTCTTATTTCTTTTGGAAAAGATTCTCAGAAATAACTAACTAAATTTCACAACATAGGTAAGAAAAACACTGATGGTTAATTAACCCTCTTGAAATAAAATTGTTTATTGTATATCCATTTCCTACTCTCAGAAAAATTAACTTGAAATAGAGGATTTTAAAATAATTTGAACTATTCTTAAAGTACAATAAACTACTGTCTACTTCCAAAACTAAACCCTTGTACCTGTAATCTTTTTTTAGAGTTTGCATGAGGTTTCCACAGCAATCTAAATACTGCTTATCAATATGAGGATATAGGCAAGATCTCAGTGTTAACTCAAAAGTCTGGCATGTCACAGATTCTGATGATCTATCCACACATACATCTCCACCAGCAAACTTCTCGTGAAAGTCACTCTGTTCCAAATACAACCTTTAAAGACAAAAACATTTAATCTTCTTTCTATGACTTACTGTCAACAGAATAGTCTTAAATCAGAATTCCAGGTTCCCACTTTTACCTTTAATCTTCAAATTACCAAGTATTACAGGAATAAATTTTCCCCCTGAAAAATACCCTTTAAGTGAAGCACTCGTTCAGTCACTGCTGCCTTTACAGTCAAGTACTGAGTAGGTCTTTCGAGCCACTAAAGTCATGGGCAGTGAATGACAGCCATCAGACAATAAGGCACTGCATGGGTAATTAATGACTTACTCCAGGCTAATGGCCAAGATGCATTTTATGCAAAGGGAGGGGCCATGATTCAGCTTTCTATAATCATCTTCTGCATGAGTGACAGCACTCCCCATGGGCCTGGCACATGATAGTCTGTAGACTTTCACAAACAACAAGGAGGCCAAACTGTACAGTCTGAAATAATTGAACACAGTATCTTCTTGTATTCCATTCATTAGTAATGGCTACAACGGTTCTTATTTTTAAGGCTGGAAAGCCCTACCTGACAGAAATAAAAAGTTACTGAATATAGCAAATATCTGCATTTTAATCACGGAAAATCTTACAGATGGTTATCACCTTGCGAAATTAATTTAAAACTGTATAAATGGTGAAGGGGGGGCCTAGTAAACATAATGTTCTTCATGTAATCGTAGACTAATGATACCAAAATAACAACAAAAAAACTGTATAAATATAACTTGAATGAACTTCACAAAGCTCATATATAATACAATATGCTGTATTTTACTATGGATATACCATATGTGTGGATATGCCATAATTAAAAGAACCAGTCATCTGTTAATAAGTAATTTCATGTTTTCCCTCTGATAGCAAACTTTGTGATAGGCATTTTTGTGCAGCAAGGTTTTCTCTTATTTCTTTTGGAAAAGATTCTCAGAAATAACTAACTAAATTTCACAACATAGGTAAGAAAAACACTGATGGTTAATTAACCCTCTTGAAATAAAATTGTTTATTGTATATCCATTTCCTACTCTCAGAAAAATTAACTTGAAATAGAGGATTTTAAAATAATTTGAACTATTCTTAAAGTACAATAAACTACTGTCTACTTCCAAAACTAAACCCTTGTACCTGTAATCTTTTTTTAGAGTTTGCATGAGGTTTCCACAGCAATCTAAATACTGCTTATCAATATGAGGATATAGGCAAGATCTCAGTGTTAACTCAAAAGTCTGGCATGTCACAGATTCTGATGATCTATCCACACATACATCTCCACCAGCAAACTTCTCGTGAAAGTCACTCTGTTCCAAATACAACCTTTAAAGACAAAAACATTTAATCTTCTTTCTATGACTTACTGTCAACAGAATAGTCTTAAATCAGAATTCCAGGTTCCCACTTTTACCTTTAATCTTCAAATTACCAAGTATTACAGGAATAAATTTTCCCCCTGAAAAATACCCTTTAAGTGAAGCACTCGTTCAGTCACTGCTGCCTTTACAGTCAAGTACTGAGTAGGTCTTTCGAGCCACTAAAGTCATGGGCAGTGAATGACAGCCATCAGACAATAAGGCACTGCATGGGTAATTAATGACTTACTCCAGGCTAATGGCCAAGATGCATTTTATGCAAAGGGAGGGGCCATGATTCAGCTTTCTATAATCATCTTCTGCATGAGTGACAGCACTCCCCATGGGCCTGGCACATGATAGTCTGTAGACTTTCACAAACAACAAGGAGGCCAAACTGTACAGTCTGAAATAATTGAACACAGTATCTTCTTGTATTCCATTCATTAGTAATGGCTACAACGGTTCTTATTTTTAAGGCTGGAAAGCCCTACCTGACAGAAATAAAAAGTTACTGAATATAGCAAATATCTGCATTTTAATCACGGAAAATCTTACAGATGGTTATCACCTTGCGAAATTAATTGCCAGCAGTGGATCGTGAATGTCATCCAGTTCGAGATGCCTTTCAGCGATGGACTGCATCTTAATAAGATTCTCTTTGGTCGCCTGCTGCTCAGTGAGGACCTGTGTAGTGGAATCTTCTCCATGTCGAAGACGTGACTGCACAGATTCCAAGAAGAGGGTATACAAGCTTTTTCTTTCTGCATCTGAAAGATAAAGGAATATATAAAGTGAATCATGTTCTGGTAAATAATACTACATAATACTAAGAAATGTTATGTAATTCCATCTTAATATAGCCTGATATCTTTACCTTTATACTAAAGTACCCTACAGTATTTACCTTTACAGTAAAACTAAGTTTTCTAGCCTGTTGGACAATCGCAAAATTTATGGTTAAATATTCCAAGTGTAAGCTAATTTTTTCTCAATAGAGTAATACCCTAAGCAGGATGCTTAGAACTTAATACCATTCTGGATAGCACTATGGTAACACTAATAGGAGCCATAATTTATTGAAAAGAACACTTCTGACAATGGCCCTGAAAGCTCATATACTACTCAGTCGAAAAGGAAATATTCCATAGTGAAAATACAACCCAAAGTAGATGCAATAATACAAAATAATTAGTGTAACATTAGGGTGATTTACAAATGTAACAACATCTACACTTTTAAGTCTTTTCAGTCAGTTGATAGAACTTCAAGTATACTGCTTAAATTGCACAGAAAAAGACCAGATATTATCAAGATTTTCTTGAAATCAACAATCAAATTTGAACTGTCCACCAACAAATTCCTATCTGCCAAGATTTATGGTCCCCAAGAGCTAATTGGTGCTGTGCTGCATTAAGAAATACCAGAGAATCATTTTTTAAAGGACCAGTCCAAAGGAATCAAGAGTAAGAAAAATGCATGTGGAATTTATTATACTGTCTTTCAAACACAGTGCTGAAAGTTTCCAAGGCGAACAATCGTTTTCGAGTCAGGAACAGCATGATTAATTTGATCATAATGCAATTTCCATGAAAACAAAGGTTTTGATAACTTTCAAACTACAAAATAATTATGTATCTCAGGACGGCAAGTGTGAAGAGTGCAGCTGCCCCGATGCCACAGGAGATACACAAAGGGACCCCCCACCTCTGGCCGTTGTCTGGCATGTGGTGCTCTCCGAACATTGCAGGTTCTTCAGCAGCTGCATTGACTTCCCAGCCATTATGATCTGCTTAAGGACAGGTTTGAGGAAGGACACCATGGTGTGCTGCCTGCCATAGGGTCCCTGGTCACTGCCAGAGCTTGCACTAGTGTTATCACTCATTTTTTCTTCGTTTTCTATCTTTTCCGACACGCTGTATAGTGTGTAGGTTGCATACCAAAAGTCTCTGTGATTTACCGGAACATTTTTGTTTCTATAGAGATTCAAAAGAATTTTACATTTTAATTTTTCTTCCTTAAAAAAACAGTGTCTGTTCCAGCTTAGACGTGTTCTCCAGACATTCCCAAACACAGTAGTATCAGCTTAGCAAAACAAAGAAATTTCAGCCAAAATGGGGCAGAGGTTTTATCTGACTTCAGTTTAACACAGAAAAATGGATAAATACTCTGAATGGCACAGATAAAATTTAAGTAGAAAGTTTCCCAAATTGGAATCAAACAAAATGATTTATTTGGTCTCTTCAGAGGCAGAGTAAAAGATTATCCATTTTGCCATCTCCTGTAAAAGTAATCTCCACACTTCCACATCTTCTCTTCTACACAGATTCTTAATTGGATTTTTAACAACAAAATCATGGTCACTCATCACCATTTAAGAATAGTCAGAATCCCATTTTCACAAAAATTATCATGTAAGAAACAGCATGTAACGACAGACACAGTTAAAGTCAGTTAAAGAAAGCACTGTGTAATCGGGTCACTTTTCCAGAGCTCTAGGGGCTTACAAGTTATTCTTCCTGATGAGTTACATGGATAGCTGTCCATAAAAACATACATCTAAATAAGAGTACATGACTTAAAACTGAGTTGAGAGTGCAAATGGTTCTGTGTTGCAGTTTATATGATACTGTTCAGAAAAATCAATGAACTGAAAGGGAATCATCATAAGTGAATGATTAAGATTTGCCTTAATTGTTGTATTAAATCTTATACTATCAAGGTAAAAAATAAAATAGTAGCTACTTTGGAGAAATAAGTGAGAGGCATGTTGCATAATATTTTCCTATCCTTTATGTTACTGATAATTTATAATAGGAATAGTTGAAGCCATTTGTTATCACCTAAATTCATTTTATGGGAAGCAGTATGCCTTGTACATTATCAGCCAGCCTGTCATACTGTCACAGCACACTATCGCTCAAAAATATAATTTGCTAAGAAAAGCTAGGAACTGACATAAAACTCAGAGAAAGGTATTTTTTTGGCTGGTGCCTGAGATGAGCTATAAAAATGTAAGACAGCTCTATCATTAGGACTGCTCTCCCTGGGGATGATTCCAACTAATGGAAGTGCATGCTTTTCACATGAGAAAAGGGAGGTAAGGAGGTAGGCCGGCACCCTCGTGCCCCACTGGTGTGTGGTGTCACCCACCTCTGGATGATGAACTCCCGGGCACAGTCGTATAGCTGCCCATGTGCGATCCACTCATCCACCGTCTGCAGGTAGGGCCTCACCGTTTCCACCCAGAGAGAGAAGAGTAGGGAGACCTGAGGACAGTGCAGAGGCCACCCTCATCTCTGGGTAAAATGAGGTCCAGACATTCCTGAAATGCCTTTTAAAAAGTGACTGAATTTCTATGTTTTTTTGAAACAAAGAAAATAAAAATCCAAAACATAACCCTATAAAGTCTTTATGAAAACTCACCTAAATGTGAGAAGACCAGACTGTCTGCAGTCTGTACCAGGATGTCTTGAGCGTGAGTTACATAGGGACTAAAGTTCTAAACGGGACAGACCAACCACAATATGGTTATCCCAACTAAACAGTGCTATCAGCAAATGTCAACTAAGAATGGGAAATTAGCTCATTCTATTATAGCTCTCAGGAGGAAGAAAACTTGCATAGCTGGAAGAAATCACCCTCTATTATACTGAGCTATAGAACCAAAATGGTGAGAAAACAAAGTTACACCAATGAACTAGCAAACACATTCAAGAATATGCCTCCAAACAAACCTGCAGCTTTCTAGATTATAGACTCTAGTTAGATGTGTTTTTCTAAATTGTGGTAAAAAAAAAAATTATGAACTATAACATATAAGGTAACATAAAATATAACATAAAAATGTACTATCACAACCATTCCTAAGTGCACAGTTCTGCAGTGTTAAGTATGTTCACATTGTGAAAACAGATCTCCAGAACTTTTTCAAGCTGCAAAACTGTGACTCTATACCCATTAAACTTCTCCACTAGTCCTGGTAACCACTACTCTACTTTTTTTTCTAAGAATTTGACTACTCTAAGTACCTCAAATAAAAGATTTATATTCTTACTTAAGAAGGGGTTATTGCAAATATCTGTGTAAGTCAGCTAGGTATTTTTCCATCTTACTTTAATGTTTTGCTTTGTCCTTGCCTCATCCTGGTGATCCTGGCAATTATAGCTGAAAAGCCAGTTTTCTGCAGCCTCAAATTTAGGTAATTTAAAAACTGAACAACTGTGATACACCATGATTTAAGCACTTTTATGAAGAATTATGACAGGCTATGCACCACTCATCTGGCTGAGCAGAATGGAGTCACAAACTTTAGAGAAGGGCCTTACATACAGTTTGCTCAGAGGCTTCTCCAACGTTGTCATATTCCAGAATGGCTTTGTACAGTGTGTTGAGCAGATGAGATGCCCGAACGACATTTCGAGTGTCAGGTGGAACTTCTGCTACTCCAGTACTAAACACTTTGTGTAGAACCTTAAGCTGAGCCAGTCGAGGTGACAACTTGCCCACCACTACTGCAAGAGTTACTGTAGTTTCTAAAACATTAAGAAATCAAACTCATCAGCAAGGACAAATACCTGCATTCAAAATGTGATATAAATGTGTCACTTAGGGAAGGCTTAGCCAACTGGAGGGTGGTGGGTTTTCATCTCATCATCACAAGAAGCTTATTTCCCAAAAGAAAGAAAAGATGACTCAACAGAAAAATAGCATATAAAGGCCTGACAGTTCAAGGAAAAGGAGATACAAGTGATTCTTTAACATATAGGAAGACATTTGATCTCACAAAAGAATGAAAATTAAAATTACACTGCCTAAATAAAAAAGACAATAATGGACTACTATTTTAGTGAGGGGAAGGAGTGGCTATAAAGGGGTGGCAAGAGCAAATTCCTGGTGGGGATGGCACAGCTCTGGATCATAACTGTGGAAACGGATATTCGAATATCCACATGATAAAACATCACAGAACTACATACAAAGATATTATTCCTCACCCCTCAAAAAAATCAAGTACCTGCAAAACTGGTGAAAACCCATGTCAGGTCTGCAGACTGGTTAATGTGTTGTGCCAGTGTCAATTTCCTCATTTTGATAAAGTCTATAATTATGTTAAGGAAGTCACCACTGCAGGAATTTGGGTGAAGGGAATATGGGGTCTCTCTATTACTTTTGGTAGTAGTTGAAAATAACTGAGGGGGAAAAAATCCTATACCATTTTACACCTATCAGATAGAGAACAAAAAGTCTGATGACACACTGATGGCAAGAGTGTGATAAAACAGGTTTGTATACGTACTGCAGCAAGAGTATAGTCATTTATTGTACCTTCATGGAGAGTATCTATTAAAATCACACATTACCTTACACATACTCTCTGACCTAGTGATTCCATTCTATAGTTAGTTACATGTACGTGATTATCAGTGCAGCACTGTTGACAATACCAAATGACCAAAAACCTAAATGTCCATCAAAAGGGGATTGGTTTGATACATCCATGCAAAACATTTGATTTATGAAAAAATAATTAAGTGGCTCTTTATGTATCTATATGGTATAATCCTCAAAATTTAAACTAGACCACGATTTGAAAAGAGCAGCTAATAGACTAGGTAAGTATATGAATGTGCATTGCCTGAACATGTCTCAATTATTTCTGGAAGGACACACAAGACACTGGTGACTTGGCTGCCTCTGGGGAGGGGACTGAGTACTTGGTAGAGAACTGGCACAGGAGGAAGAACTTTTACCAAAACCTTTCTGTTCTATTTGGATTTTTAGATATGAATAGCTTAAAAATATAAATTTAAAGTAATATAAAAATGACCATGAGAATCTTACTTTTTATGTAATTTTCATATCTTACGGCGGTTAATCTAGATAGCATTCAATAAAGGAGTTATACGTTTTATGAGTAAAAGGGAAGAACATTTAAATACCATTATTGATGATGCACTTCTCAATATCTGTAAGCTCCTCTTTGAAACTAATGAAGTATTTGTACAGGGCCCACATGAAAGCCTGATACGTTCTAAAGGGAGCTTCGGCTAGCTTCTTAGGAATGGGGCCATTTCCAGGTAACATGCTTTCAGAGCTGTGCCCCATGACTTCATCGATGAACTCCTGGAGTTGAAAGACAACCTGGCCATATGCTGCTATTTGTTCCAGCACTGATCGTAGGCATCTCTAGAGCAGAAGCAGAGCACATATATTTGAAGTGAGTCTTTGGCAAGCATTCAAATTCATATTACCTCACTGTAAAGTATGTCTTTTGTGACTGTTGTAAACATCATACTTAGTAGAAAACAAAGTAATAAAATAAATATTTAGTTTTATATTCAAAGTAAATAGTATAAGCACTGATTTCTAAAGAATACAGAACTGTGGCTTATACTTTTTAACAACATATATAAGGTAAATGCACTACAGGTAAAAGAAATTACAGCATACAGCTTTCCTAATACAGAATAACTGAAATAAAAAGCAGAAAGCACAAATCAGAACTAAATATAAACATCACAAACAGTATTAAAGAACTCTCTAAGCACTGTAAAGATGCACAACTTTATTTTGTCTTTTGGTTCTTAAATATATTTAATAATTAATTTAATATTATAAAATGTTCCACAGTTATATAACTAGTTTATATAAACCTATTAAAATTTAGTTACAATAAATACAAGTAACTTACATGTGTCAAATGAGTTACTATAATATTGTTTCTCACAGTTACCTTCCCATCTATCAACTGAAATATAAAGAGCTTTTTTACCCCTGAGAGTAACCTGAAATGAAATTAAAAAGATGAATGTACTTTAAGTTTAGAAAAATATTCACTACAAGAATGCCTAAGAAATTCTAATTAAAGATGCAGAATTTGGGGGTGTGGGGGGTCAAATAATTAGAAAATATATCAATCCTCTTATCTGATTAAAACTCAAGATATTTCCACACAATCTTAGAGACAAGTCCAAAACAGTGTTGTCAAAGCATTTCTTTCTTTCTTCCTTCCTCCTTCCTTCCTTCCTCCCTCCCTCCTTCCTTCCTTTCTTCCTTCCTTCTTCTTCCCTCCCTCCCTTCCTTTCCTTCCTTCCTCCCTCCCTTCCTCCTTCCTTCCTTTCTTCCTTCCTTCTCTCTCTCTATTTATTTATTTATTCTATTTTATTTTGGTACCATTAATATATAATCACATGAGCAACACTGTGGTTACTACTTTCCCCCCATTATCAAGTCCCCTCCACACACCCCATTACAGTCACTGTCCATCAGCATTGTAAGATGCTGTAGAGTCACTACTTGTTTTCTCCGCGCTATACTGCCTTCCCTGTGCACCCCACCAAGATCTTCCCATTTTTAAGATGTCTTCTACTTTATGGCAGAGAGGAGCTGAACCTGGAAATCGAAGTCATAAAAGCACTACATGTGATATTTTTCATTTTTCTTTTTGTGAAGACATTCTAAATTCTTAGATTCCCGGTTTCCAGGTTCAGGACACATCCTGAAATGAAATTAAAAAGATGAATGTACTTTAAGTTTAGAAAAATATTCACTACAAGAATGCCTAAGAAATTCTAATTAAAGATGCAGAATTTGGGGGTGTGGGGGGTCAAATAATTAGAAAATATATCAATCCTCTTATCTGATTAAAACTCAAGATATTTCCACACAATCTTAGAGACAAGTCCAAAACAGTGTTGTCAAAGCATTTCTTTCTTTCTTCCTTCCTCCTTCCTTCCTCCCTCCTTCCTTCCTTTCTTCCTTCCTTCTTCTTCCCTCCCTCCCTTCCTTTCCTTCCTTCCTCCCTCCCTTCCTCCTTCCTTCCTTCTCTCTCTCTATTTATTTATTTATTCTATTTTATTTTGGTACCATTAATATATAATCACATGAGCAACACTGTGGTTACTACTTTCCCCCCATTATCAAGTCCCCTCCACACACCCCATTACAGTCACTGTCCATCAGCATTGTAAGATGCTGTAGAGTCACTACTTGTTTTCTCCGCGCTATACTGCCTTCCCTGTGCACCCCACCAAGATCTTCCCATTTTTAAGATGTCTTCTACTTTATGGCAGAGAGGAGCTGAACCTGGAAATCGAAGTCATAAAAGCACTACATGTGATATTTTTCATTTTTCTTTTTGTGAAGACATTCTAAATTCTTAGATTCCCGGTTTCCAGGTTCAGGACACAGGCTCCTGGTTTCCAGGTTCAGGACACAGGCTAACTCTCACTGATATATTTTGCCTATCAGAAGCAGTAAGCAGCAAATTAGGAACTGTTCTTTGAACTCATAGATATTAAAAAAGTGAAGGTCTAATCTAAATATACTATTAAAGATGGAAAAGAAGTAAATACATTAGAATCTCATGATTTCCACAGTCAAATCTAAAGTTTGAATTTTTCCAGTCACCCAAAGTTTATATGCCTACTTGGAATAGTTTTGGGCTCATACCTAAAAGCCTGTTTCTAGTGTGCGTGTGAAAAAATCCTGAACACTTCTTTAAAAATCCAAAATTCTACTTATCGTTAATAAATAATGTCTTCTACACTATTAATTAGATTAGAAGATCTTACCATAAGGTTTCCCGAATAACTTGCGTCTCAGTAACAAAAACTCTGTCATCTGGAACATATAATGGGTCGCTGTTGTACAAGTGTTGGTCCCTATTAGATAACAAACATCAAATGTCAGTGAGAAGGTAAAATTATATGTCTCAAAAAACATATGCACTTTAGTGGTAATTTAACTACGAATCAATCAACAAATAAACATAAATACATGCTTTAAATGCCCTTCCAATAGTCATTTTCAAATATCAACTGAAATATGCTGAAAAGCAGTTTCACAGCAATTACAGTTATGTTTACTGCTGATTTAGGCAAATATTTTAAACTATGCATTATCATCTTGATAAAGCAGTATCTGTATTTTTGCAATACGTACACTTTTAACAGAAATAAATGGCCTAATACAGACCGATCCATTCAAGTAAATATCAAAGACAGGTTATAATTAAATAAAAATTCCATCAAAAAATAATTAAATAATTAAAACCTTTTACCACTGTTAAGAACAAAACAAACTTAAATTTCAGGGAAGTACTTGATTTAAATCATAAATCAAAAACAATATTAATACATGAAAGTTTCTTCTATCAACACATTAAATGAAATATTTAGCTTCTTACCAGATAGCAGCTAAATTGGAATGCAAATGTAAACTATGAGGAAACCGTGGGGATCTGTCTGTCCAGTACTGATGGACCACATGCTGTTCCAGCCAGCTTCGGCCATCTGACTCAACTGCTGGAAGGAAATTTATCAAGTTTAAGTCTTAAGAATTAATTAAAAAAAAAACACACTTCAAATTTACCACAATATCTGGACTTAAGACTCCATTCAAATATTCCACTGAAAAAGGCTCTTTAAAATAAGAGCTACCAGACATTTATCTGTATAATTATTTATTTAAAACAATATATATATTGATGCAAACATGCAAAACTTAATTGTCATTGGCTAAAAATAAAAAAAAAACTTACTCAACTTTAAAATGATCCCATGAATAAAAAGAAACAGTATATTTGAATAATTCAATAGTCATTAAAGGAATTGAAATGGTAACATTCTCAAGCACTCCCGAAGCCTAAGGACTGATACTAAAGCTTTGAAGGATTACCTTATACAGGTTGTTCCAGAAAAACTGAAAGGGGCCTGACATTTTATGAGGCTAATATAACCTTGTTTCTAAAACCAAATACAAAATAAGAAAATCAGTTCATCAAAGAATAAAGATGAAAAATCTGAATTAAAAAATAGCTAACCCAATCCAGTAATTTAGTAGAAAATAACACAATGATCAAGAAGCTTAGCTCAGGATTTCAAGGGCAATTCACTATTAGAACATCTATCAATGAAGAAATAGAGTAAAAGAGAAAAATCATAAGATTATCTCACAAATAGCAGGTGAGGGAAAAACATGGCAGCATGAGAACTGAGGCAGAATCCTAATCCCGAAACTACATATAACAGGAAAATACAGCAAATACAACTAACTAATCCTGAAAGGGGAACCTGAAGACTGAAACAGACTGCCTACATCTGGGGAAAACGTTACAGAAAAGGATCCAGTGGGATACAAGCCCTCCCCTGCCCCAGCTCACTGGTGGGAGGAAGAGAAATGGAGTGGAGGAGGGAGTAGAAGCCCAAGAGTGGTGAACACCGACCGTGGATATCTGCTCCAGGAGCACGAATCCACATTACATGGTGGTCTGGAGATTAGAGTGGTTGGAAAGCAAAGTTAGTCAGAATACTTGGAAGAGACTGAGTGGAGAACAGGTAGCCACAACTGGCTGCTCTGGGACAAAAGGTGAGCAAGTTGAAAGACTTTCCATCAGCAAGAGGGGTGCTATAGGGGCAGGGATTAGAGCTTTCAGCTCAGGAGAAAGTATAGGTGGACAAAATTGTACTGGCACACTCAGCCCAGCAGGTTGGGAATGTTCAGGACCTTCAGATACTCCATCCCCCTGGATGGGAATGCAGCCCCAAGGCCATCAACTGCAATAGACAGTCTGCCACTCCTTCCTCCCAGCAGGAACCCATCCACAAATCTGCTGCCCTTACCATCGTATCAGGCTAGCCGGAGGGGGGGCCACACCATTAGGAGATACAAGAGTATATCACAGAGGCTCCACCCTGCCCACTTGGCCCACTGACCCTGGCAGTAGAGGCAGGCACTATAGCTGGGAAGCAGGAAAGAGCTCTTTCCTTCTGGCAGTAGCAAGAGGCACGTGTCTGTGCCCCTGCCATAGCTCCAGGTGCTGGGCAGCTCTAGAGAGTAGAGCCCCTGGGCACTAGAGGGGGCTGCATGCACAAAGTTATTATTCCACAGTAATCATTAGAAATAAGAAACAGCAAAAGAATCTTATACAAACCACAATCCCTCAAACAACAGAAAGAGGGCCAAGTAAAACTGAAATCACCGATCTTCCTATAAAGATTTCAAAATAAAAATCATAAACAAGTACATGGAGCTACAGAAAAATATTCAAGACCTAAGGAAGGAATTCAAAAAAGAGAAAGAAACTTTGAAAAATACAGTATCTGAAATGAAATATACAATGGAGGGATTTAAAAGCAGATTAGATAAAGTATAGGAGACAGTAAATGGAAAGGAAATTAGAGTACAGGAATACTAAGAAGCTGAGGCACAGAGAGAAAATAGGATCTGTAGGAATGAAAGAATATTAAGAGAACTGTGTGACCAATCCAAACAGAACAATATTCGCATTATAGGGGTACCAGAAGAGAGAGAAAAAGGGATAGAAAGTCTCTCTGAGGAAATAATGAAAACTTCCCCGATCTGGGGAAGGAAACAGTCTCTCGGGCCATAGTAGAACAGAGATCTCCCAACACAAGGGACCCTAGGAACACAGCACCAAGACATACAATAATTAAAATGGTAAAGATCAAGAAGAAGGACAGAGTACTAAAAGCAGCCTGAGAGAGGAAAAAAGATCACATACAAAGAAAAACCCATCAGGCTATCATCAGACTTCTCAGCAGAAACTTTACAGGCCAGAAGGGAGGGGCATGATATATTCAATGCAACGAAACAGAAGGGCTTCAAACCAAGAATACTCTACCTGGCAATATTATCATTTAAATATGAAGCAGGGATTAAACAATTTTCAGATAAGCAAAAGTTGAGGGAATTTACCTCCTTAAAACCATATCTACAGTGTATTTTGGAGGGGCTGCTCTAGATGGAAGTGCTCCTAAGGCTAAATAGTTGTCACTAGAGAAAATAAACCACAGTAAAGGATGTAGATCAATTCAGCTACTCACAAAGTCAGTTAAGGGATACACAAAGAGTACAGAATATGAAACCTAACATATAATGAGTGGAGGAGAAAAAAAGAAGAGGGAAAAAGAACCACAACCTTTAGATTGTGTTTGAAATAGCCGACTAAGCAAGTTAAGTTACTGTTAGAGAGTAAAGAGGCTACTCTTGAAGAAATCTAAAGCCTGCAATGGCAGTAAGTACATATCTATCAATCATCACCCTAAATGTAAATGGTCTGAATTTACCAATCAAAAGACACAGAGTCACTGAATGGATAAAAAAAACAAGACCCATCTATATGCTGCCTACAAGAGACTCACTTCAAACCCAAAGACATACACAGACTACAAGTGAACAGATGGAAAAAGATATTTCATGCCACTAATAGAAAAAAGCAGGAGTTGCAGCACTTCAATCAGCAAAAATAGATTTCAAAACAAACAAAGTAACAAGAGACAAACAAGGACATTACATAATGATAAAGGGTTCAGTCCAATAAGAGGGTATAACCAATATAAATACCTATGCACCCAACATAGGAGCACCTACATATGTGAAACAAATACTAACAGAATTAAAGGAGGAAATAGAATGCAATGAATTCATTGTAGGAGACTTCAAAACACCACTCACTCCAAAGGACAGACCAACCAGACAGAAAATAAGTAAGGATGAGACAGGGACCATGGGATTAGGCAGAGTAGGGTGAGGGCCTCCGGAGAAAAAGCAGAGCAATATAATTACAGTCAGAACAATGTGCAAGTAAGTCCCTGTCAAAACTCTGTGTTAAGCATTATGCAAAGTCATAGTCACACTAATTCTCTAGGGTAAAGATTTATATACATGACTAGGAATACAGACATTCTTCAGTAAAATCACTTAAAGCTCAAAAGGCCAGGAGCAACTTGGTCTGGAATGTTTTGAGTGTTCTGCAGAGAAAGAAGGGTATCTCAGCACAAACCATCACTTTATTGTATCAACTGCATCATGCCAATGTAAAATTTACCTTATCCTGATAAAAGGCCCAGTTTATTTTAATTGTAACTATGTGCTATTTTCCCTTCTCTAATCGTAATCTACAATCTAGGCAAAAGACTACTTTGGTAAGCAATCTCAACTATAAACAACCCAAGCAAACAGACAACAGCCCATCCCACCTTGAGGGCAGGGCAGGTGGTCTTACAAGTCTGCACTCCTAACCCTTTACCCTCATTCCTGAAAAATCTTCAACTGCGCATAAAACCCCTAGACAATGAGCCAACCACGGACTCTCTTGTCCCCTCCTGACGTGAGCTGGGAGCTCTGTCCTCTCACTTTATCTCTAAATAAAAGCCTGTACCTTGCTCTCCTACCTTGAGTGTTTGTGAAGCTTATTCTTTGGCTTCGTGAACAAGAACCCCGGCATCATCTTTGGGGGCTCATCTGGGATAACTTCGGAGGTGAGTATCGGCATCCAAGCCTGCCTTTTCTTTCACTGTCCTTATAGAAGGAAGCCGTCTGTAGCACACAAAATTGGGCGCTCTTCAGCCACTTAAATGGGACTAGCCTGGCTGCCCATCTCAAAGTCTCGAGTGACAGGTTCCCCTGCGTCTCCCTCAGTGGATCCCCCGTCTCCCTTGGGAGCCGGGAATGTCACCTGAGTGGAGGCCAGGATTCCCCTTCAGAGGCATCTCCTCGGATGTGAGGGACTGAGGAAAGCCGTGAGCAACTGCAAGAGTCTAGGCAGACGTTACACTGCAGCGGCTCCTCAAAGGCCCACGTGTCTGGAATCAGACCCTGACAGCCCAACTGGGTGTCCATGAGGAGTGTCTCTTTCTCTGTCTCTGACTCCCAGCCTGCTTCTTCAGGCCGCCCTGGCCTCAGTGAGGCAGGGGGCGTTCCTAACTCTCTTCTAACTTCATCAATTTCATGGACCCCAATATTCACCACTGCAAGGTAGGAGATCCACGCTTCACTCTTATTCCTGACTTAATACTGCACTTTTTTTATCTCATCAAAATGTGTCTGGGCACCCGTTAGCCACTTAAAAGATGATTAGCGTTGGCTACCAGTCTTAAATCTTGGGTGAAAGGTTTCCCAGTGTCTGCCGCTCCTTGATGCCCACCTCCGGATGGACGGGAATGTTGGGGAGTGGCTGAGCTGACTTCCTACTTTCCTATCCTAATCTGTGGACTCCGAGGGGAGACCGGACTAGTGGACAGTGGTCCTTGGATCTTGGCTCTGGCCGACTGATCCGATGGCGCTGAGTCAACCTCCAACGAGAGTCGCAGATGACACCTGACCTCTTGTCTCACAGATCAGATTTGTTATAGTGGGTGACTGGCTAAATAATTCTCAGGCAGTGGCAGAAACTGGTGTTTAAGAGTATAGACACCCCCCTCCATAACTGTACATGTAAATAGCCCCATTTAAATTCTAGCCATGGCTCTATTCTATTGATTTCCTTTCCTTAGAGGCAATC